ATAACCGCTCGTGTTCGGCTCGTTTACACCCCTACTGTAAACTGTAGCTCATTAACGACCACGAGCTTAAATACTTTATTAAAAGCCCATAAAACAAAATGGAACAATTTATTATTTAATTTATTTATATTCATAAATAAAATAATATCGTTGACTCAATAAGTTTTGTTTGACGTGATTAATTTATTTTTTAACCAAACCGCATGTATAAAGCTCGATTTAAGTTTGATTTAAGGCTTTGTTATGACTCAATTATTTTCTTAAAAATTTAATCGTCAATATCATCGATAATCTCAACATGAATTCATCTCCAATTAGACTTCATCTTAACTCAAATAATATTCTCTAAATAATTTTTTCGTTTTATTTCCTTTAAAAAATTGACCAAGAATATATATATGTTTTAAAATTCTAAAAAAAATAATAAAAAAATTGGTAAGTATTTTAAAATGTAATAATAAATTTAATTTTATTTCAATGTTTATCATATAACCTACACAATCACATCTAAAGACTATAGTGAATCTAATAGAATAAAAGTTAGGGATATATAGTACCCAAAGTATTGCTATTTATAATATCTAATGCCCAGGTGGTATTTTTGAACTATTAAATCGATTTATTTACGTGTGTCATGATCAAACCATTAAGAATTTGATAAAAATGAAAAAAATAAGGGTTGGTACTTTATCATGAAATTTGATATTTAAGTGAGAATTTGAAAAGTGGATGAATGAAGTAGCTAGATTTGTAAATGACTATGTTTCGGCTGCTATGTATGTAATTGCCCCCTAAATGAAGGAGCTAGATTTGTAAATGACAATGTTTCGGCTGCTATGTATGTAATTGCCCCCTAAAAATTAAGTTAAAATGTACTAATCCTAAATTAATTTAATAGAATAATAATTATTATATAATTATAAAAAATAAAAATATATTATTAATTTTCAAAAGATCTAAAATACTTTATATAGAAATAAATATATGTTAATAAGTTTTCATAAATATTTTAAGTCTAAATAAAAATTTAAAGTATATTAAATAAAATTAAGGAAAATACTTATTCCTTTTTATTAACATGATTAATTCTTATTATATTATTTTGATAAATGAAAGAAACATATAAAATTATGCAAGTTTTTAATAAAAAAAAATATTTAAATAAAAAGTTAATCTACATATTAACTCATTAGCCTTATTTAGATGATTAATAGATCAAACAACTCATATTTATATAAAGCAAATTAGGAGAATATAACAGAAATATAAAAGCATCCAAAGTTATAAATTCTTTTAAATCTTTAAGAAATAAATTTTATCAAATTTATTATGGATATAGTAATTTAAAATAATTTTATTTTCTTACTTTTGAAACTTGAGCCTAAACCATCATTTAATAATTATAAA